AATTGGAATTAATTTAGGAATTTAATTTAGGTTTTTAATTAACTAAAGAAAGAAAAGAAAACAAAAAGGGAAGCTTGGTCTTAAATTCGAAATTGGGCCATGTGATGAGTGAGCCCAAATCTTTCAAAACCCATTCTTCACTTAAACTAGCCCATCTCCTTACCCAGCCCAAACCGGGGCGACCCGACCCAACACCCAAGACCCGGATCCTTATTCTTCTTAAAGACCTAGACTATACAAATTAAACCCTAGACTCTAATAGAGAGGAGAGCGCCGCAATACACAGTAGACGACCCACCTCCTTGATTTCATCTTCTCCAGGAGACCCATCCCCTTCTATCTCCTTGAACAGACAAAAATGAACGCCTACAATGGCTGAAGAGAACACAAAATAACGCTCAGAAATCTGAAAGACGAATCAGCCGATACACAAGACCCCCACTGAAAATATCATCTTCTTCTCAGCCATTTTCATGGCTTCTCAAGCAATAAAACAATGACGATCTCTGACCAGAACCAGGCGATTCCAACAGCCAACGCACCCCATCTCTGAAAGCACCTCTAAAATTCCAACGAACCCACCTTAGCGACAACCAGTTTCAGCTACTAAACACGTCGGAAGACGACCCCTAACACAACAGAACGCTACTGCCTCTGTTTTTTTTCTTTCCCATTCACGACAGCCCCCAGAACCAGGCCGCTATTCTGCTCTCAAAAATCACGCGCACACACGCAAACAGTTTTACGTCGAGGTTGATTTGAGGTCGCCGCTATCCGTTCGAGGCTCAGTTCCCTGTTCGAGGTTGCGATTCCGATCCAGATGCCTAGCCTATAGCTCACTTGAATGCTTTGCTGTCCTAGAGCTTTATTTTCATTGTATTTGCTCCAGAATTTCAATAATATAAGGTCAGTCCTTCCGTTTGGTTTTTTCTGTCTGCTGCTTTCGTTCTCATGACTAGTTTGTTAATTTGTAAATGTTTGTAACTTGGAATGATATCTTGTTGCATACTAATTGTTTGAGCTATATGCAAGCATTTCCGATCTATTTTATTATATGGGATTGAGATTGTCTTTAACTAATTTTGTGATTTTAAGGGCTGGGCTGAGTTTTGCTTTTTGAACAATGTTAGTTCTATGTTCTAGCTGTTTGATGTAGAAGTGGTCGATAGGGATAAAATATTTGAATCTCGCTGAATGTCGCATTAATCTGCCTCGTCTCGTTCAGTGCTTAGATCTGTTGTTTGTGTTTGCTAGCTTTTTGTTAATTCTTATATATATCGTAAGTCGGCGTGTATTCCGAATCATTCACGAGTAGTTGATTAGTATCCATGTTCTAAAGTTCATTTTCGGGTGTTCCAACTACTTTCTCTTGGGCGTTTCTCATCATGTTTGCCTCTTTTCGCTCACGATGATTGCACGCAGAAATTGATTTTGTGTCATCCTTTTGAACATGTCGATTGTTTTGTAAATAGTGACTGTAGTTTTTTAGTCTTCGACATTGATTGTAATTCCCCCAATTGGAAAAGTGTTCATTTTTTATAAAGTTATGGGATCTCTCTGTTGCTTGGATTTGTGAATTGTTTCTCCACAAAGTGATTTTGGTCATAAGTTTAGTAAATCATAAGATGAGATAGGTGCATTGAATTGGCACAATTTAAAAGCAGGTAGTGAATAAGCATGAATCTCACAATTTGCTTAGGCTCGTAATAAGATTATCACGGCAACGGGTACGGTTCCCGTGACGTAGTTGTGGTATTAAATTTCGAATTAGCTTTAAATATGAATATCTTTAATTCGTTTAGTTGAGTAGATTCGAAGTGCGCCGTGCCAGACAAAAATGACAATTGCATGGCCCTCGTTTAATTAATCTTTTAAATTCTTAGAATTCGAGGCGTGCCATTTAGCAAATTTCCATGGCCCTCGCAAAGTTAAAAACGCGTAGTTGCTTAGGCGCGTTGTTTTAATAATTCACCTTCCTAAACTCGAGTGCACATTTATGTGACCCAAATCCAAATCTCAACGAAGTCGAAATGTGTCAAAAATCGCGGGTGCATTTATGTGATGCGGTTCGAGACATGTTTTCACGACGTTGCAATTCTCTTAAAATAATAATAATAAAAGCGGTTCAAAGTTAAAAGCACATAGATTAAAATATGTACTAAAATCAAAACAAATAAGCCAAATATGACAGATGAGCGACCGTGCTAGAACCACGGAACCCGGGAATGCCTAACAGCTTCTCCCGGGTTAACAGAATTCCTTACTCGGATTTCTGGATCGCGGACTGTTAAACAGAGTCATGATTTCCTCGATTCGGGATTCTAAACTGGTGACTTGGGACACTATAAATCTCCCAAGTGGCGACTCTGAATCTTTAATAAACAAATCCCGTTTCGATTGTCCTTTAATTGGAAAAACTCCTTTACACCTCTGCGGGTGTAGTAGGTGTGACACCTAAAACTATCGTTAGTGATAGGGATGCTAAATTTTTAAGTCACTTTTGGAGAGTTCTTTGGGCGAAGTTGGGAACTAAATTGCTATTTTCTACATCTTGTCACCCACAAACTGATGGGCAAACTGAAGTAGTTAATAGGACCTTAGAGAATATGTTGAGAGCTGTTTTAAAAGGAAAATTAACTTCTTGGGAAGAACATTTGCCCAAGGTAGAGTTTGCCTATAATAGAACTATCCACTCTTCTACTGGTAAGTCTCCTTTTGAAGTTGTTTATGGATTCAATCCCCTCACTCCCCTTGATTTGTTACCTTTGCCTACTAATGACATTGTTAATCTTGATGGTAGGAATAAGGCTGAAATGATGAAGAAGGTTCATGAACATACAAGGCTTGCAATTGAACGGAAGAATGAACAAACTGCCTTAAGAAGAAATAAGGGGCGAAAATCTGTCATTTTTAAGCTGGGAGATTTAGTTTGGGTGCATTTTAGGAAGGAAAGATTTCCTTCCAAACGAAGACCCAAATTAGATCCAAGAGGAGATGGGCCATTTGAAGTCCTTGAAAGGATTGGAGACAATGCTTACAAACTTGACCTTCCTAGTGAATATCAAGTTAGTGCTACCTTCAATGTTTCTGATCTTTCCTTGTTTGATGCAGGCTCGAATTCGAGGGCGAATTCTCTTCAAGAAGAGGGGAATGATAGCATTCATGGCAGCTCAACATCATTGAAGGAGAAGGATGAAGCTCTGGAAGCTCCAAGAAGGCCCATGACAAGGTCTCAAACAAAGAAATTTCAAGACAAGCTTAATAGGCTTCAATTGGCAATTAAAAAGTGTCTTATAATAGAAGAAAAGCTCCAGCACAAGGAGGATCTTTGGGCCAAGTCTTACAACTATTTTAAGGCCAAAATTAAAGTCCAAGAGGAGATGGAATGAGGCCCAAATATGCCCCAAAAGAGAGGAATTTTCAGCAGCCCAAATAAGCCCAAAAATAGTTTCTAGAATATATATTTAATAGTTGTTTTAATCTATGTTGACTTGCATTGGTCTATGTGTATGTTGACTACATTGGTCTTAGTGTGGGTAGTCTTCTATGCTTCTAGGGAATATAATTCTCATTTATTCAAGTCTTGACTAGCTCCTTCTTTACTACTATATAAAGGGGTGCTTGTCTTCCATTGTAGAACATTATCGAAGATTAATATTATTATTGTGAGTTCTTTTGAACCTTTGTGAACTTTACTTTGAAGATTTATCTTGCAACCCTAACTAGTTCATAGCTTAAGGTAGTAAGATAATTTTCTTTCTTGTGATATCTTTGGTTTCTTTTGATATTCTTCGAAGGCAACTAGTTTCTTTTACTAGTTGTTGTCGTAAGTTATTCAAACTAGAAGTCAAGATCCGAATCTAGTTCTTAATTAGCTTATCTCTAGTGAAGGCAATTGGTTTCATAACCAACTTTTTGTCATTTAGGATCTTGTCAAAATCTAGATTAACATAATCTCAGGGTTCTTGAACCTTTCCTTGAATTTCGACATATCTAGTTTATTTTTCTTGCTTTTCTTAATCCGCTTGCATTTCTTTACTACTTCCATATTTCATCAACTTATTTTCTTTAAGTTCTTGGATCTCCCAAACTTTTCTTTAAGTTCTTGGATCTCCCAAACTTTGTGTTATCAACAATGTTCTCCTGTCTTAGATTTGCAAATACATATGGCCTTTTGCAGTCAAAAGTTTCCCTTTAGAAGTATCCATTTAAAAAGGAGGCATGGTCGGCCACACAATGAAGAATATTCTAAATTTCTGAGTGTCACAATTGATGCATGTCACAATAAGTCCCACTTGGCGCCCTGACGCTAATAAAATGAGCAATTGATGAGAAAATCCAGAAGCTCTAAACTGGTTAGACTGGTGTTCATGGAAGATTTTTACATCGGATGGTAACTCCCAGAGAGCTAAAGTTATAGTCAAAAGTAAAAATCATATAGTTGTACATTAATAGTATACTATGATTTTTTTGTCTACAATTGGAGATGGCACATTAACAGTGGAAAAAATTATTTCACTTGACAGAAAATATTTTTACTTAATCCAGTAACCTGAAAATATGTGTTTATTCTGCGAAAAAATAAAGATCGGTATCGAAGAGTTCCAACTGGCTGATTTCATCCTATATTGCACGTCCCTATCCTCAATAATATAGATTTTGGTCTATAAATAAACAAATACAAAATCCTTTTTGATCTAGGCTTTGACGAATATGTAGATAAAATGTAACTTATTTTTCTGAAATAATAGTGTAATGGAACAGACCCTAAAAAAATCTTCTTCATAAGTATATAAACATCTAAGTGGCATCCTCTGATGAAGACAGAAGCAAGAAATAAAAATACTTCTACTGTGATGCAGACATATCGACATGCTTAATTGTTTATCAGATACTTCACTAATCGTATGACAGATATTAAGGACCATCTCTCGATTTGTCATCATATACCCTTAGCTGCAGCAATAGTTTTATAAGATGATAGAAAAAAAAAAAAAAAAAAAACAGGCTCTGCCTAACCTCATGACTTATAAAATGATAGAAGAAAAAAAAAAGAATCTGCCTAACCTCATGACTTATAAAATGATAGAAGAAAAAAAAGGCTCTGCCTAACCTCATGACTTATATGCTGAAAAACTGGAATAACAAATTACTGTAGTTAAACAAAGGAAACTATCAAAAGATTTGCAAATACGACACTGTGAACCTGAACAAACAAAAGGGATTTGCACACATAATGATCTATATTAAAACAGCTAAGCAGGAACCATTGTCTGCTTTGCTCTTTACATCCCCTTTTTCCTCTGATAACCAGATAACATGCAGACAAATGAGACAAATGAGAAAACCCAGAACAATGGTAAAAATTATTCTAAGCTACTCCACAAGCTCTACCTCATTCGTCAGCCAAGCCTTGATTTATCTCATCTCCACCAGCCACGACATTGGTTAGTGTAGAAGCCATAGCAGACATTTGTTATTACATGTCATTCCGTGAAAATAATAATGGTAACACATTAATTTCAACATCAATAATCACGTCTGCTTATTTTCACTTCCTGTTTCCCCTTGCATGCCGAGGGAATAGACTACTTCACAATCAATGAATATTGTCGTCTTGTGAAACACCTAGCAATTCTTAGCCTGATATTGATGTATCTTTTTGATATGACTCAAGCAATATAAATTAGCAACAAAAAAGCTAATAGGAAAAGGCTACCCAGCTTCAGCCGATAAATAAACCGGCTTATCGTAGAACAGATTCTGAATGGCCATATCTCATATAATCACCAGCTATATTAGCTAAGCTTCTCTTTATGCTATTACCACCCTATGCAGAAGTTCATTAATTGAACATGAATACAAACGAAGAGTTAAATATGATAGAATGGAAGAAATCTCTCAATAAAATAAAGTTGTAAAAGAAATTTGATGGAACCACATTCTCCCATTAACTTTTCAGCAATAGGAGGCAAGTTCTTGCTTTTTTGGCTTGTAAAATCAGTATGGAAGAAGCAAAACTAAAGCAAGTGAATCATCGACATGAAGATGAAGAACATATTAACAAATAGAAACAAAAAAAATCAGCATTGCCTGCAATAGATCACTTCAAATTAAAAAGAAGCAGAAATATTTTTCTTTGAGAAAGTATATTACTACATGCAATGCATAAGAAATCAAAAGATGTTCAAGTTTGTAGCATTCCATTTCCGAAGGAAAAACAAAAAAGCTTATGAGAGTGTGTCATATTGTTTATAATTTTTATAGTATTTTCAATATCAATATGCTCCTCAAAATTTCTCAGATATATATTATTTAAATTTATAAGAATAAAAAAGGGACAACGGTAGTGGACAAAACCACGTTAACACTACACTGGATGATTCGTGCACTCTTACTATTCCGCAATTTCAAAGAAAGAGAGTAGAACAACCTACTAAATATAACAATCATACCTTGCATCTTTAGTGTGTGGAAGACGGTAACAACCATAACGGTGACCCAATGCTTGTACAGTAGCCCCAGAATGATCAAAGTAAGATAAATTGACTTTCTTTTGGAAGATTCCTCAATCCCTCCTAGAGATTTTACTGTTGCAACCCAAATGGAAGGACAGAATACTCCATATAAGATGACTTGGACATATCATATCATCAAATAACATGGGTGCGAAGTCATTCATAATTATAGTCATTTTTAATACCTTAAATTTTCCATTGATAACAAAAACAAAATTCTTCAAAGCGACAATTATGTTTAAATCAGGCAATATTACTAATATGAACTAAGATTTGAGCTAAAATTTATATTCAAAAGAACTGCCAATAGCAATAAAGCCAGATCGTGAAAACCCAACCAACGCTCACCAGAGTTGTATTGAATCTTGGAGGTGCGCTCCACAAGCGCAGACCAATTTTCGGAAAGCAGCATGCAGCAACTCTTTTCCAGAGAGAAAAGTAACAAAAGATTAAAGATGTAAGTGAGAGGAAGGGAAAGAAAACAGAAATCATAGGGTAAGAACGAAGGAGGAGAATGGGAAATAAAAGAGATACATATAAGAGAAGTGCATGCCAGATGTCCTACGTAACAAACGGTAGACACGTTTCGGCCCAGAAAAGAAAAATGGTAATACACGTGTCCCTAGAGAAGGTAAATAGATTCATTCACCAATGACATAGTACTTGGTAATTGCAATTATACCCGTATCATATGTTCTTCTCTGAACACGTGTATTCCGCTTCTTATTTCTCCACTGCTATACTTCATTAGTAAAATCCAGAATCTCCCATTCATCTTCTACGTGCATTTCAGTTAGGGAACTATTCATGTTTTGATTGTTTGATGGTTTTTCTCCTTCTTCTTCTTTCATTATTTTTTCATTTTCCTCTTTGTTTTCTGTTACTTCTTTTCATTCCTCAAGGGTTTCATGTAGTTAAATTCTTTTACTCTATAGTTTAATTAAGGGTTTAAGATATTAACCTAAATTTTAAAATTGGGGATTTTTACAATTTAATCGATCTTCAAGCGTTTTTTTTTTTTTTTGAATTTCAAGGGAATAAATTGGCGAAGACTACAATAAAGCTGCTTGATAGTGCTTTGAGCGGCTCATATCGAGAGGTAAGGAGTTGAATTTTCACATCCTGGGTAAGCTATAAGAATTCCTTTGGCAACTTTTATCTTTCATTTATTGGGATTTTAATTTTTGCTATTTTTAATTCTCCCCTTTCTCACTGCTGTCAGATTGTTGTTGTTTCAACGGTGAGTGGTAATCAAATCTTCACTACTTCTTCATTTCTATAATCTTTTCTTCTGCATTCTCAGTATAAGACAACTGCGGCGCCGAGCTTGTTCTCTTGGCTATTGAAAATCTTAGTCCTATTTACTATATCTCGCCAGTTATCTTTGATTTTTGCAGGTTTAATGACTTTTGACGAGGAACAAATGTCGTTGGGGTATAAATGGCTAAGGTTATTCTCCCTAATTCCATTCCATTGCGTCATTGTGGGATGGTATGAATGAGTTGTTGTGACTTCTAAGCTTTTCCTCCCTTTTTTCGTGGCTATATTTCTTATATGTGCTTGTATTTTTGGGTGCATGTCGGTTCGCTTCTTCTGCTTGAACAATTATGCTTATGATTTTTTTCACAGTTTATAACTATAATGATCTGGCTATGGTATGAATATTCAATTAATAAGACAATTGATCGTTCCTTCCAACTTGGCATGCATATCCCTTCTACTTGATTTTCATAGAGCTAATGGTTGAGTTGACATTGGATGCCATTGGTGATTTCTTAAGTTCTTTGTCAGTTGGGAGATAGAAATTGAAACAAGTTTATGTCAAGAAGAGTTGTTTTGCAGTTTCTGAGTAGCGAAAGTAGTTGGTTTACTCTTGAACTTAAATGCAAATGCAGAAATTTCTTTGGTCTCAAATGTATCAGATGTACTAGATACCTTTGATCTTTGAATGAGTATTAATCATTTCAAGACTTGGTTGTATATTGAGTTAATATATAATATTTGTACATGATTTTATCGTTTATCTTCAAATTTGTTTCTCATAATTTATCATTTTAAAATAGAGAGGCTAGGTGGATAAGAATACTAGACAATCAAATGGTATTCTGAAGTGTTCAAAGATTATGCTACTAAGTTTTGTTTGAAGGAAGGTGAAGCTAAAAAAAAGGTAAATGATCTAATGGTGAAATGCTAGGAGTGGTACAGAACCAAATTTGCGTTTATAGGTTTATTCACTTAATTTTTATTTGAATGTGGGGATTTACCTTTTGCATCCAATATGTTTGGCCTAATTCCGGTTAGAGATGTTGTGTCTTCAACATCATTGATAGCAGGGTTTATAGATCAAAGATGTGGCAGTAAAGGATTTGTTTATTTGACATGCTGAAATATGTAGCATCGAGGAGTAAAATCCTTGGTTTGTATACTTCTTAATGTTTTTGCTAGGTTCAGGAGGTTATTATTTAATCAGATAGAATTTGTTTTGTATTTGAAAACTGATCGATAATTCCTCAGAACGGTTAGATGTAGCTAATTCATATATTGAGACTCATGAGAATAAAACTACTGGAGAACTAAGTATAAAAATATAATTACCGGAGAAAAATATATAATTATTGGAGAACTGAGTACAAAGTTTTAAGCTTTAGCAGCATAATAGTTGACCCAGAACAACATACCAAAATAAGGAGATTGAAAAAAAGGATAATCTACGCGGTATACCAATTGAAAATATCAGTTAACACCATATACAATTAAAATATTTTTTTTACTTTGTATACCTACTTTATAAAATTATTTTACCATGTATTCTAAAATATAATATTGAATATTCCAAATTAGAATATTGTGATATATTTAATTTGGATATTGTATTCCAAATTAGAATATTGTAGCATGTTTAGTTTGAATATTGTATTCCAAATAAAAAATTATTGTATATTTGCATTGGATATTGTATTCCAAATTAAAACGTTGTAGTATATTTTGTTTGGATGCTTTATTCCAAATTAGAATATTGTAGTATGTTTTGTTAGAATATATTTAATCTGGATATTGTATTCCAAATTAGAATACTGTAGCATGTTTACTTTGAATATTGTATTTCAAATTAAAAGTTATTGTATATTTACATTGGATACTGTATTTCAAATTTAAGCGTTGTAGTATATTTGGTTTGGATACTGTATTCTAAATTAGAATACTGTAGTATGTCTTGTTAGAATATTATGGTATGTTTTGTTTGGATATTGTATTCTTCGTTAGAATATTATGGTAAGATAGGTTTGGATTTTTCAAATTAGAATATTGTGGTATCTTTTATTCCAAATTAAAACATTATGGCCTGTTTAATTAGAATATTGTATTTCGAATTAGAATATATGGTAAGTTAGATTTGGATTGTATTCCAAATTAGAATATCGTGATATGTTTTAGAATATATGGAGGTATACCGTGTAATATTTTTGGGACATTTGATGTAGTTTCACCGAACGACACAATAGCCAAACATAGTAAAGAAAATAATCCAAAAGGATTTTTGTATAGAAAGAAGAATAGTTGTTAGGAAATGTAAGTCTTAGTAGTACTGTTATATAATGTACTAAAAATATTGGGAGAAAATGAGCATAAAATGTAATTGACTCCCTACGATATAGTGTTGGGATATAATGAGTGAAACTATTATATACATTAAAACTGGAATAACTTCTTTTTCCTAATAATTTTCCTTATGCATTGATGGTGTTATATTTCAGAATAACTTCCTAATACCTACTATGAAGTTAAAACTGTATGATTCATGTTAGTATTCCTTCATCCAATTTTTGTACTTCTTTTCAAAAAAGGAAATTAGGATTTTTTTTAATTTTTTTTTTGTAAATATGAACTAAATTTGATTTGGTGTTCCTTATGACTGATAAGATTTCTTTGATTGGTAGTACAATTTATGGCAGGAGCTATGGTGTCTACGAGGAATAAAAGATAAGCTAAGCTCTTGGAAAAATGACAACAAGAGATTAGAGTCATTATATTCTTTTATGGTTCCCTATATTTTCATCATCTTGCAATACTATTTCAAAGAAAAAGGTGTAATATATAAGAAGCTAATATAAGAAATTGTGTATGTACTTCATCGCACATTCTCTTTGATTTAGAAATTAGGGAAATTTTCATAAAGCATTATCTTTTAGTAGTAATTAGCCATTTATAGATACCATTTGCTATATTACAGATTATAGATATCTTATAATTAAATATTTTGCTATAAACCTTAAAAGGTATCTATAGAATATAATTTTTTTAAATAGTATTTATTTAAAATAAATAAGGTGTTAACCTTTGCTGTAGGAGGTAAAAATTCCTAGAAAATTAATGTATGTTAGCTTTAATTTGAAAAAAGATTCACTTAAAGTCCAGTAGATAAAAGGTCCTGGTCCAATTGATAAAAGGTCTTATATTGTTATCTCCATACAAATCTGGGCTAACCTATTTTTTTTATTGTTCTAGGGTAACGTATTTTTATCCTCAAAAGGACAAGAAGCAAAAGTAAGTTATAACACAACTAGATACAGAGACATAATATGACAATGATATCACTCTCTTAATTGTTAAGAAACCACTTAAAATAAAGTGCTACCTAAAAAAATAACTAGAACAAAGATGATACCTGTCATCTGGCGTCAATGCCATTAAGATCTAAATTAAAAGAACCTCGGAGAAGACTGATTAAAGAGAGGTCTGGCTACATCTTCCCACATTCATTGGCCATACCTTAAATGCGATTAGATGAATGTGATTTTGGTATTTCAATTGATTTAACATGTGCGATGTTGATAAAGAGGAGGAAACAGAAACTATATTTGGTGTCTTCTCCCAAAAAATATTAGTTTGTTACCGATATTAAATTTCAGTAGCAAAATTAGTGACAAAAGGTACGAAATTGTATCTTTTTGAAGTAGAGAAAGACTTTTTTTTTGCTAAAGAATGAAAAAGATATCAGAGTGTCCCTGATCGGAAATTGGAAGCACTTAGTGATTCTTTGCATTCAAGAACATTTAGATGGTTTTGCACTTTGTTACTTATATTGGCCAATGGTAACTACATGCTGAATTGTTTTTTTTGTTAAATCATAGGTGGTTTCATTTGGTCTGGCTCACAAAACTGATTTATGTGGACTAGGATGTCACTAGCTTTGTCTTATAATCTGGGAAGTAGGGCAGTGATTTATCCAGCAGCTGCTTAATTTGGTTGAGAAAGACGCAGAGGAAAGCAAACAAACAAGTCTAGCCAAGGTTCGTGGTTGATGAGTACATAAAGATATTTCGGACTGAAGTTTGAGGAAAAATGCAGTTTGAAAGATGATGTGAGAAGTGATACAGTTGCAACTGGTTAGAATCTAATTCAAGAGGAAATATGTGGTCTAAAAAGAAAACAATTCGTTCTATAAGTTCATATTATTTGCCTATTCTTTTATAATGTAAATTTAAGTTATTCATGAAGGTGGTGTCTTGCTACTGATATGAAGAGACTCAAGTTTGTAAGTAATTTATAATTATGCCAAAGCTTTCCGTCATGTTGGGTCGTGCTGTAGCACGGGCATCCCTGTCTAGTATGTGTGTATATATATATATATATGTGTTAAGGTAAAACATCTTGATACTTGGGTATATTTCTTTTCATAGTTAAGAGTATTGTCACGACCGCGGTTCGCCCTCCGTGAACCATCGTGACGGCACCTAGTCTCTACAACTAGATAAGCCCAAATTGCGGAAAAGAAACCAAAAACTTGCGGAAGTAAAACAATTTAAAACAGAAATAAGAAATAACCAGTGTATAAATGTGCCGCTCGGCAAACACCATATTTAACTCTCAAAACCAACACATAAATCCAAGACCCGGAAATCCATGAATCACAAGCTAAGAAGTGCTACACAGCTCTAACTCCAGAATGTCTAACAAGAACTGAAAATACATAAGGGCTAATACTAAACAGCAAGAATAGAAAGAGACTCCTCGGTCTGCGGACGCGGCAGATATACCTTGAAGTCTCTACAGAAATGCCTCGCCTCAAGGATGATAAGACTGAGCGAAAGTACCTGGATCTTCACATGAAAAACATGCGCAGAAGGGGCATGAGTACACCACAGCGATACTCAGTAAGTGCCAAGCCTAACCTCGGTCGGGTAGTGACGAGGAAGGTTAGGGCTCTACTGAGGTTAAGTAAGATATAAGGGTTAACATTGTGAAATAAACAATGTAAATAAGTAACACAAGATATAAAGGACAGCGACAACTATCACAGAGGTAAGTAAAACACAGTAAGAGAACACAACTCAGCTCCAAGATAACAATCGGGGACCTCCCAGGATACCGTCCTGTGGTCCCCAAATATAAATATCATATCCAGTGGATCTCCCGGGTGCAGTCCCGTAGTCCAACTCATAAATGTGCAGGGGGATCTCTCGGAATGAAATTCCGTAGTCCCAAAGTAAACATACAGGGGAGCTCCCGGGATACCGTCCCGTAGTTCCAAAGTAAAAGTGGGGGATCTCCCGGAATGCAATTCCGTAGTCCCAAAGTAAACATAAAGGGGAGCTCCCTGGATACCGTCCCGTAGTCCCAAAGTAAAAGTGCAGGGGGATCTCCCGAAATACCGTTCCGTAGTCCCAAAGTAAATACGTAGCAACAACAAGAATTCAATCCAATCAATTTCATATCAAAGTGAAGCAGGTAATCCTAGCCTAGCATGGTGCACGTAATAGAATTAAGACAGTTAAGGCAAATAGAGCAATTTAGACAAGTAGACATGCTTCTCTAGGCTATAATAGATTTAATTTCCAAACAGTGTAAGTAAGAAAAGGAAGAACACAATTCAAGGCTCTTTTTAATGAAAAACCGGATTTCCGACAATTAGCACAAGTACGCGCTCGTCACCTCACGTACGAGGCATTTCAATTACCACAATATCAATCCTAAGGGGAAAGGTCCCCCACACAAGGTTAGACAAGCCACTTACCTCGAA